CGTTTCTAAGGCCTCCCCTCCCGTTCTCTCCTGACCTTGTCAGCCGGGCTTTCAGCCACGCCAGGGCCTGGGTCCTCCCTTCACTGAGCCCACAGCCAGGTCTCCATCCTCACCTCCCTCGGCCAGTCGGCTCCTTGTTCCCCACCTCACCCACTGTCCTTCCATTTCATTGGTTGATGCTCCCTCAGCTCCCCGACCCCCAAGCCTGTGGGTGCCCCAGCACTCGCTGCTCTTCTCTCGTTTACCCCGTGGACTCGATGGCCCGACCCGGTCTCTGAACCTGAATGCCGTCTAAATGCCACTCACTTCCGATATCTGTTTCCACCCAGGACACTCCTCTGCCCCGGGAACGACCCCCGGGCCCATCAGACACCTCCCCGACATCTCCATTAGTGGTTTACTCCACCTCCCAATTTACATGCACCAAACTGGCCTCAGACTTCCCCTCGGACCCGAGAGCGCCTGTGATTCTAGAGTGGATGCAGCTCGGTGACGGCACGGGTGAGGCCGTGTCCGGGAGAGGCAGCCAGGCGGAGGGAGAAGAATGATGGAGAACGGAGAACACGGACAGTGGACTGCGGTGCACCTGGGCGAGGTCGCACAGGATGCAGGAGTGCTTGAGGGTGAGGAGGACCAGGGGCTGGAGTCTTTGCAATGAGGTGGTGAACTCGGTGTCGTGTGCTCCAAGGAAACAGGGTTATTTTAATTCTTCTTTTCATTTTTAGAAGACAGGCCAGCGTGGTTCAGTGGTTGAGCATCAACCTATGAACCAGGAGGTCACAGTTTGATTCCTGGTCTGGTCTGGGCACATGCTCAGGTTGCAGTCTTCATCCCCCTGCCCCCCAGTAGGGGGCATGCAGGAGGCAGCCAATCAATGATTCTCTCTCATCATTGATGTTTCTCTCTCTCTCCCTCTCCCTTCCTCTCTGAAATCAATAAACATATATTTTTTAAAATGGGTTAGAAGAACAAAGATCAGTAAGAGACCCTCACCGTAAAGGAGGTCACCCCTGCCTCCCACCACTGAGGTGTGGGCGTGAGAGAGCAGACGTGCCCTGGAGAGATCTGTGGGGCCTGTCTCAGGCCCGGCTGTGGGGACAGCAGGGTGAGAGGGGTTTGGAGAGGAACTGGAGGGTGGGGGCTGGCCGATTGGCGGGGAACAGTCCAGAGGGTGAAGGCGGTGCTTGGGAAGGAGAGCAGGTGGGTCAGGAGGCGTTGCCTGATGAGCTGTCTAGAAGGTGACAGGCCAGCGGAGGGGCTTCCACTCCGGCTGAGGAAGGAGGTGGCCGGGAGCGGTGGTCCTGCTGGGCCCAGATGGCGGGTGGACACTTAGTCTAACTCTGGAACGCGTAGGTGTGTGTTGTCTTCCATGGAAGCTACCTGCCAACCCAGAGCTGCTCCCCTCCTCACTCTGCTCTCACTGGCCCATGTCCATGTCCCCGGGCCCCTGCATTCCTTCTGCACACATTTAATTTGTTGTTGCTTTTCGTTTTGCTTTTTTTATATGTGTTTTTTTTTTTATTTCAGAGAGGAAGGGAGAGAGAAACATCAATAATGAGAGAGAGCCATTGATCAGCTGCCTCCTGCATGACCCACACTGGGGATGGAGCCCAAAACCCGGGCATGTGCCCCGACCAGGGATTGAACTGTGACCTCCTGGTTCATAGGTCCATGTTCAACCACAGGGCCACGCCGGCCGGGCTGCACACATTGTGTTTGTGCAGTTTGCTGCGTCACTCTGTGCCGGGAAAGCCAACAGTCACAGGCTGCCTCCTGGGCTGCTATCTCGGTCTCCAGGGAAACAGCCTCACCAGCAGGATCTAGCCTGGTTTTCATTTTTTCTTTACTTTTTCTCTTAAGTAGAACTTCTGAGCTAAGATGAAGTATAAAACCACAGTGAAACCCACTGTAGCCGGTGACAGTGCCATAACCACAATTGTTTTCAGCCTGGACAACCAAGTCAACAATCAAACCACGTTTTCTTAGAAATGTCAGATGTTTTGAGTCTTTGATAACAAGGAGGTGTTCCGCTTGGCACACACCAGGCCTCGTGGGATGACACCTTTCAGAAGACAGGAGACATCTTTTTGGGGGAGAAGAGGGAGCAGAGAAACTAGGCTGGCCCTGGGCCTGGAGGAAAACAAGTCTGCAGAGTAAATGAAGGTGAATTGTCTAACTTGAGCAACTTGAGATCAGAGACGGGCATGAGGCAAAGCCTCCAGCATACGGACTTTGTTCCATGGACCTTCCTTACCTTTTCCAGAGCATTCATATTTTCCAGACAACTGTGCAGTATGGGTGCAGGGGCCCATGGGTGTGGTGATAGCCAAGAAGACAGACAGTAATAGCCAGTATTGGACGGGTGTGGAGAAACTGGAGCTCTCGGGCACTGCGGGAGCGGGGTAGAAGGGTGCAGCCCTCTTACAAAACAGTTTGGCTGCCCCTCAAAAAATGAAACATGGAGTTACCATATGGCCCGGCAATTGCACGCCCGAGAGAACTGAAAACATAAGTCTACTCAAAAACATGTACAAGAAGTTTATAGCAGCATCATTCACAGCAGCCAAAGTGCAGCAGCAACCCGGATGCTCACCAGCTGGCAGATGGGGAGAGAAAGTGTGGCATGGCCATACAGTAGGGGATTCCTCAGCCATAAAAAGGAATGAAGTCCCACACATGCTACAGAGTGGATGAGCCTTGAATACGTTATCCTGAGTGAAAGACGCCAGACACAAGGCCACACGATTCCACTTACGTGAAATGTCTGGAGCAGGCAAGTCCATGGAGGCAAAAGTGGGTTCCTGTTTACAGGGGCTGGGGTGGGGGGAGGGGGAGGGAGGGTGACGACTGGTGGGTACTGGGTTTCTTTTGGGCGAGATAGATGTGCTCTGGAGTTACATGTGGGGATGGCTGCAGGATCTTGTGAATATACAAAAACTACTGGATTTTACACTTAAAAGGGCGAATTTTATGGTGTGTGAGTTTTACCCAAATAGCACAGAATTGTTAAGAAAGAGGCCGTACACAGAGATACATATAAACATGTTTACTACCAAACTTTAGAGTGCCATATCAAATACAATAAGTATGACATAAGTTTAAATAAATACATACTTTAAAAATTGCAAAATATTTTAAATCATAATTTAAAATACTTTATAAAACACAGACACACTTACATCTCACACCGCTATTTCCAACTCAATAACATGCACATTTGCATTGGAACAGTTTCAGATACAATGGTCCTTCATTTCCTATGTCGTCTGATCACACATTTCACATGCATCCTCTTTCTCTTGTATCCCAGAGTCCTTGGCCCTCAAAACCCCTGCCGTCCTGACTCCTGTCGCCTCTCCTCTTACTTCTGGCTTGGCCTGGGCCAAGGCGCCAAAGCGCCTCTGAGCGTGGCTTCCTCGGCACATACAGAGGCGACGGGGGTGTGAGGGAGCTGTGACCCTCACACCGGCGAGGCTGAAGCAGCCTGCAGTCACTGACAGCACTTCTCAGGGCCAGCGATCAACAACTGGACTCCTTAGGACTTTTGAGCTGCTTTCTACACGAATATAAATACTTGCTCATCCAGGCTTCCCTCCCTTTAAGAACAGCCTAACACACAAGAAAACAACTGGGAAATAATTATTCAACATCTTCACTTTGTGCAAACCCGCTGGGTGAACCCAGGACACGGGCAGGGTCCTATCGTGGACTTAGGGCCTTGCACTCGTCAAGAACTGTATGCTGACACATCAACATCCGACAAACATCTTTTTGGGGATGCAAAGCACATCCTTATTCCTACAGGTGGGTGCTTTTTCAACAAAGGCATTCACGAAAGGGTCCCTTCATTCATTTGCGTGTAGGCTGTTACCAAATCAGAACATGTGGTCTCCTGGAAGTTTTTCATCATGGAAACCACAAGTTTCTGAAAAATTAACTGACCGTGCACAGCGTCTGCCGCTTAGCTTTTACTCACCCGGTACTACTCCGTTTTTTAAAAGCAACTGTAGGAAAAAAATTAACCATGTACACTGGTTACCATTGTACATTGTCAGGGGATAGGATTTGCCCTTTATTGAAATATAGCCACTGCAGACGCAACATTAGAATTTGTTAATAAAGAGGTGGTGATCTAGGAAAGTCCTAACACTTACATATGTTAAAGTGCCTACAACACTTGTAGTGCTGAATTAAGAATCATGGAATACATACTCCATGCAATTCAGAAGAATACTACCTCTAAGAATACCTTACACAGTGGTCCAGGCTTAGTTTAGTGATCTCCATGCAGGTGTGGGTTATTGTTTTTTTTCATGTCAGTAACAGACTATCTTTGTACAATTGGTTTCCTCTAAACTTTTGACAATTTTCATTCAGCCCATGACAGCAACTTTGTAACCAGCAGTTATAACACTACTGGAGTCCCGGTGCACCAATTCGTGCATGGCTGGGGTCCCTCAGGGTGGCCTGCGGGGATCGGGCTGAAACCGGCAGTCCAACGCTGCCTGCTGCTCCTGCCTGCCGCTCCCGCTCATCCCGGCCCCACTGCACCTGCCGCGGGCTCACACCCAGTCAGTCCTGATTGGGCGCCCTCCCCAAGGGGGGTGGCCGGGATGTGATCAGCCCTTCAGGCGGGCCTTCGGACGGGATGCTCTTGCTGGTCCAGGATCTGGATTCATTCTGCTGATGTTCCCACTGGTTGTCAGGAGGCACCTGGTGGCCACTTTTATATATTTCTTCCTCGTGAAGCATCTAGGGAGGGGAAGCGGCTGCGGTGCCCGAAGCTGACGTCCAGGAGGCCGGGGCGCTAACGGGATCGTGCTGGAGGCACCAGACCATCAGTGCCTGGTCCGTTCTCTGGAGATTGGACCTGCAGGACTACTGAGGGGGTAAGTGGCTGCCGCTGGGATGGTGGGCCACTGGGATGGGACAGTCAGCTAATGACGCTCCCGCTGTGGGAGCCAACTGACCACCAGGGGGCACCTCCTGTGTTGAATGTCTTCCTCCTGGAGGTCAGTGTGCGTCATAGCAACTGGTCAACCGGTCATTTAGTCACTTAGGCTTTTATATAGAGAGATGAAGGACAAAAGAAATAATGTCACAAAATACTGGGTTTCTCCACCCAGATTTCATCAGGAGTGAGGGAGAGCTAGAAAAGGAGTTCTGAGACTCCAGAGCCTTGGGCTCTTTGCTTTTGTCTGGAAGAGAATATCCTTCCCCCTGTATCCAGCACTTTCCAGATCCTTGGAACAGGACAAAGGAAATTGAGTTATTTTGCTGGCAGGCTGGCCTTTCCCGCGGGACTTTGGTCCTTTGAAGTTCTCAGGGGCACTGCAGTCCAGCTGCAGTAGGTGACAAAGTTCTGAGATCCAAGGAGAGCTCTCTGCTGTCCTCAGGGCATCGCTCTCATTCCCTCCTTTACCTGTGTTCCTGCAGGTACAAGAGTGCAGATCATCAGGACACTTAATATTCTGCATAAGAAGAGTGACAACAGAATTCATCTTCTGTTCACTGTATGCACTCTCACTGGGGTAGTGCAAACATGAACAGCACATCCTACTCTGTTAGCTTAGTGCAACCATTCTGTATGAGTCTATAAGGGTGGATTTGTGTCATATATTTGTCAAAACCCCTAGGATAGACAACACCAAGACTGAACCCTAATGAAGACTGTGGACTTTAGTTAATAATGTAACAATGTCGGCCCACAAATTGTACCACAATGTCATACTAACACAAGATGTTAATAATAGAGGAAATGGGGGGTGGGAGTCAGGGTATGTTGGAAGCATGTGCTTTCTGCTCACTTTTCCTAAGAACCTAAAACTGCACACAAAAGGCCCTAATTTTTTAAAAAGCATTTGGAGGAGACTTGACCCTTTCAAAGTCTCAGAAAACAGAGCAGAGTGGTGAAGGTCACCGATGCTAGAACCAAACTGCCCGGGTATGAATCCTGGCCACACCACTTACTAGCTTTGAGATTTTATGCAAGTGCCTCATTTTCTCCATCTATATAATAATAAATATAGTAATAGCCCCATCACATAGAATCCTAGCTCAGAACAGTTCCTAGGATATAACCTGCCATATAAAGGTTAGCTATTAACGTCATTATTATTAACTTCCATAAATGAACTGACTCAATGTGGCCAGAGCCTGGTTCCTTTCCTCTCCTGCTACAAACACATGAAACCACAGTCCATAAAATCCCCTGAAGGGGTGACCCCTCACCTTCACTCTAGAAACTGGCAGATTTGGGAGGGTTCAAGGAACAACAGCACATGTAAAGAGGGTGTCTCCTCTCAAAACCGCGTGTGATTTCAATGCCTACCTGGCTCCTTTTGGACTTAAATCAAGGTCTGGTAGGATCCATCTGACGGAGGGCTGTGGCAGCTGCTGCAGAACACACAAGAACACTGGGTGAGGCACTGCTCTCGACGGGAAGAGAGAAAGGCGTGCAGGTGCTCAGTGGCACGTGAGGTGCAGAGCGCAACTTACCTGGTGGGAACAAATTTCTTTGCTGCAAGAAAAAGACAACCGTAATTTGGACTCAGTGACTTCGAAGGACACATCGAGTCCAGAAACAGTCTGATTCACCCTCAGGGTGGCACACGCAACGCCTTTGGGGGCCCCATGTCACAGCTTGGCGGCAAGTAGGGCAGCGTGCAAGCGGACCTCACGGAGGGGCCTAGCTTCCCACACAAGCCGCAGCCACAGGCTCAGCTTGCCAGAGGTAAACTTTTTCATGACCAGTCCCTAATCTGGGTCTTACGGGAAATTTCCTATTTTGTAATCAGAACTTAATTCAAAAAAGTTTTCAATACTCCGTAGGCCAAACAAACCACAAGTGTGGCTGGATGCTTTGCGCATCCCCTCCGATTTATTCCGCCACAGAAACCTGTTCCCCAAACACATTTTCAGAGACATTTTGCCCATTTTCCTGGGAGCACGGACCCTGGCGGCCTCTGCACGGCCTCAGAGGCCACAGAACCCAGCACGCATGGGGCTGCCCACGGTCATGCAATGTGAGCGCAACTGACACCCATTTCCTAAAACTTCCCACTTGGGTGCTGTGAACTCTTCCCCTAAGACTGCTGTTCCACGTGACTGCCGGTGACTATTGATTTCACGCGTGGAGAGCGTGGTGCAGGGTTGGGGTGCGTGCACAGGCCCTCACCTTTCTTCCGAAGGCGCTTCAGGAGCCAGAAGAGGAAGGACCCCGACGTCAGGAGGGAGGTCCCGGCAGTAGAGAGCCCGATGGCCAGGGGCAGGCTGGACGGGGCGGGGTCTGCGGAGACAGGGAAGAGCCTTCACGAGAGGAATTGACTTGAAAGTCCTACTGCTTGTGGATCTGCCCTTTGCTTTGTACACACATTACAGGACACAGCAGAGGAGCCGTGCAGTTCGTATGTGGGAGGAGGCGTTGCATTAAAGACCTGGGAGGTCTGCCCAGCCTGGCCCAACTCATTGCCACATTCTTTCCCGGCACACAATGCACCCTGGACCCTCTCTCTCTCTCTCTCTCTCTGTCTCTCTCTCTCTCTCTCTCTCATTCCCCCCCACCCCAGCTCTCCCTTTATGATGGTCAATATTCCACCCATTCTATCAACATGTCACCTCTTCTGTTTTCTCTATATTCCCATTAAATTGCATGTTCACAGCTTAGTAACCTGGCCAACCCTTTGGCCTTTCCGGTTTGGATGTAATGGATCTTCATTATTTTAGCCAGATAACCCCCATCTTCACTCTCGCCTCCCGACAACCCCGTCAACCCCGTCAACAAGTGCCTCACCTTCGCAGGTGGGCAGCATCCCGGACCAGTGTCCTGCAGCACCGCACGTCAGAGCCGCCGAGCCATTGAGCGTCCATCCCTCCGGGCACGCGAAGGTGCACTCAGCGCCGAACACGAGCTCCCCATCGCAGCTCACGGCCACCTTGCCGGGCACTTCCGGGTGTGAGCATCGCACCACTGCAGGAGAAGGACCGGGCAGAGGTTAAGGAAAATCCCCTGGAAGCTCCTAACCCTGGCTAGACAGGCAGTGCACAAGCACGACTTATGGACATGGTGTCATTTTTTTTTTAATTTATATTTTACTAGAGGCCCGGAGCACGAAATTCGTGCAGGGGGCATGGGGTGTCCCTCAGCCCAGCCTGCACCCTCTCCAATCTGGGACCCCTCGGGGGATGTCCAACTGTGGGCCTAAACCAGCAGTCGGACATCCCTCTCACAATCCGGGACTGCTGGCTCCTAACCACTCTGCCTGCCTGCCTGATCGCCCCCTAACTGCTCCCCTGATGGCATGATCTTCCCCAACTGCCTTCCCCTGCAGGGCTGAAGGGGCTGAGGGACTGAGGCTGAATGAGGCAGGGCTGAGGGGACTGGGCACTGCCATCTTGTGAGGGCATGATGGTCAATTAGCATATCCCCTCTTTCTTAGATAGGATTGATTTTGGAGAGGGAGGGAGAGGGAAAGATAGATAGAAACATCAATGATGAGAGTGAATCATTAATCGGCTGCCTCCTGCACACCCCTACTGTGAGGACTGACCCACATCTATTCCTGCGAGTCTGACTTCAGTCTGACCTTGGCAGGAGGGGGCCTCCTGTGTCCACTGTCCCTGAGCCGTGCACTCCAGGCGAGCTGCCCCACGCAGTTGGAAGCCGTCCTCGCAGCCGAAGGCGCAGGAGGAGCTGGGGGTGAGCTCCCCAGCAGGGGCGTGGCGGCACTGCACCCAGCCGCTCTGGGGCCGGGACACAGGGGCACATCTCACAGCTGGAAGGGGAGCAAGCACATGAGAGGTTCGCTTGTCTCAGGCAGCCACGGGTGTCTCCAAGTCCCCGACTCCCTGGCTGTTCTATATATAAATACATCTTCTAAATTTTCCTTTGGTTAATCCTCACCCGAGGACATTTTCCCATTGACTTGTAGGGAGAGTGGAAGAGAGAGGGAAAGATAGAGAGAAACATTGATGGGAGGGAGACACATCACTTGGTTGCCTCCTGCACAAGCCCTGACCAGGGCCCGGGCCGGGGAGGAGCCTGCAACCCAAGTACATGCCCTTGATCGGAATCGAACCCGGGACCCTTTGGTCTGCAGGCCAAACCGATTAGGGTTTCAATCTTTTTTTCAATCTTAAAAGAAAACAAAAACAAAACCGTACCTTCACAAGTGGGCTCCCCGCTGTCCCACTGCCCTGCGGGGCCGCACTGGAGCCTCTCGGGTCCTGCCAGCTCGAAGCCCGGCTCGCAGGAGAACGCACAGCTGGCGCCGGGCTGGAAGCTCCCGGAAGCGCTGGGGGTACAGTTCACGTGGCCCCTCTCGGGTCTGGATGGGGCTTTGCACTGGAAAGCTGAAACACCAACGCGGTGGTCAGGACACGCTGGCGGGACAGGAGGGGCCCGCATGGCTGAGTGGACCCAGTGCACCTCGGACAAGGACGCGCTCGGGGGCTCAAACTCTTGGTTACCCGGGGACAGCCGGCCATGGCGCTAACCAAGGGCTGGCGGCCCCTAACAGGATGGGCCCTCGGTGCTCCTCTGACATGAGAAAGAGCCGGGCAGGGCCAGGAGAGGTGTGTGTCCTCAGAGCGCAGCTGGGGGACTGGAGCCTATAGGACAGCCGTGGGCAAACTACCGCCCGCAGGCCGGATCCGGCCCATTTGAAATGAATAAAACTAAAAAAAAAAAAAAGACCGTACCCTTTTATGTAATGATGTTTACTTTGAATTTATATTAGTTCACACAAACACTCCATCCATGCTTTTGTTCCGGTCCAGTTTAAGAACCCATTGTGGCCCCCGAGTCAAAAAGTTTGCCCACCCCTGCTATAGGGGGTGCCCAGGGAAGGGAAGTCCGAGGCAGCCACTCAGTTGGTCTGCTGTGCAGTTGGGTGCGGCTCATGGCTGTTGGCCGCGGGACAGGGCTCGGTGCCGTGTGTGGCTACGAGGACAGCAGCCCCTGGGGGTGGAACCTGCCTGTTTTCAATGTCCTCCTCTCGCCTTGTGGACTAAATGCTGCTGCTGAGGCCTGTGACAGCAGACGCCCCTCCCCCTGCTGGCCCTGACACTTCCAGGAGGAAGGGAAGACAGGTTCTAGCATCAGGGAGCTCTCGTGGTCCCCCGTGTTATATGTGAAATCCTAGAGTGAGACCCAGCTTCCCCCACCCCGGCGGCCTAGGCTCCGTCAGCAGCACATTGGGGAGCCGGCCCAGCGCCCGCTCTCGCTGGCGGCGCTGGTTCTGCCAGGAGCTGAGCCTGACTTCCAGTCTCCTTCAGACCCCCC